GAGGTAGTGGTGGAGGAGTAGGAGGAGGAGGAGGACATCACCAAATGGTCACATATACTGTATAGAGAAACTGTATGTTTAAACCGTTAAGGTTTTACTATTGTCATAATTCATGGGATAATAATGTTTTTGTTTTGTTTTGTTTGTTTGCTAACCAAAAATTAGTTGTTAATAATAATAATAATAAATACTATCGTTTGAATAGACGTTAAAGTTTAAACACATTAATTAGCACCATATACAGTGTATATACTGGGTATGTTAGGTATATGGTAGGTGTGTGTGTGTGTGTGTTGAGGAGGGTTTGGTAGAGGTAAAGGTAGAAATTTTTATTTAACAAAAAAAAAATCTTATATACATTTTTACCACTATTGTTAAAATATAACTTATTAATAATATCATATAGTAATAGAAATTTATATTATCAAAAGAAAACATACAATTAATTTTTATTTCCTAATATTATTTATTATAATATATCTTTATGAGGACCGTTAGCTTGAGAGAGAGAGAGAGAGAGGTATACCGTATCCCTTATATATATATACAGACCTTCACATAAACCATAGGATTTACGGCCGTTTGAAATTGAGAGGAGACATGAAATATACAGTATATACTGTATATATATGCGGATCCATACGGATATCCGCAACTAAAAAAATACTGAGAGACCCATTGATAACAATATATATTAAGGACATGACTATTGTTGTCAATATAGTTGTCTACCAGTGCTCTCTCTCTCTCTCTCTCTTTCTGGACAAAACTATGAGAGGGGATATCATAAATACTGTATACAGCGGTATGTGTTAACAAACACATTAGGAGTTCCCCCCCCCCCCATCAAACCCTCAAAAATATTTTAAGGTAATATACCTTTAAAAAAAAGGAAAGGGAAGACACATACAGTTATGTAATTTACTATATTATTAATATTGTATTATTATTATTATTACTACTACTACTGCTACTACTTTTATTGTTTATTATTACAACTATTTATGATAACGTTTTTTCCCCAAAAAACTTCATATTGTAATTAAAAATTTGCATTTAAATAATATTTTTAAGAAAAACTTATTTTAATAATCAACTTAATTATTAATATATTAATACAACAGTTTAATCATTATTTTTGTTTAAAAAAATATTTATCAATAAAAAAAATTAAATATTATTGATTAGCCCCATAGTTATTAATGTTATTTGAGATTGAAAAATAAATTATAAATTTCTATTACTAATTAACAACAGTACATAAAAAAAGTGTTAAAATATTTTTTTTAAAAATAAATTATTAATTTTCTAACACCAGTAATAATACTAAATAACATTAATAAATAAATTAATATTTACTAATTCAATGCTAAATACAGTTATTTTTTATTATTATTAAAAAAAACTTCAAACGGCAATCATCATCAATGATCAGATAAAATGCCATTTAGTTTCAACTAATTTATCTTTAATTTACCGTAAATTTTTGGTTTTAGTAAAATTTATTATTGAGTATATATATTGTATATATAAATCTTTTTATTGATATTTAATTTTTATTTATTTTATTGTTATTTTTAAACTAAATGTTAATATCACATGTTTTTTTTCGGTTGCAAAATATATTATAATAAATGCGTGACTTTTAAAACATGGGATGAGATGAGCCATTAGATTATAATTATAATAATAATAATAAAAAATTTAATTTTAAAAATAAAATCATTACTAAAAGCAAAGTGTAATTGAAATGAAAAAAAAATTTTGGATAATAAATACATATTTTTATTAATAAAATATTTATTTTTAATAATATCATTAAAATATGACAATTTCATGGGTGATAATATAAAATATATAATTTTTTTAGCTATGAATTTATTTTGTTTTTGTTTTGATTATTTATTTTTAACAAATATTAAGTTGTCAACTATGTTATCAAGATTTAAATTAAATTAAATTAAAAATATTTTATTAATAAAAATATGTAAATTAATTAATAAAATTTATCGTTTATTAAAACAATTTTATTAACTGTTACTGTTTTACAACCAAAATAACTAAACAATATTTGTTTCAAATATAAAATCTAAAACATCAAAGACATTAATAAAATTATTATTATTATCAATAAAAAATAACAATATTTTTTTAAAAAAAAATTGAGACAAGGCTACAGTCAAACCAAACAAACAATAAATTAAACGATTAATGAAATAATAATATTATATATTATTATTATTACTTTTAATCAAAGATAGTATTTGTTTGTTTTTATGCATCAAATATAGTGATTACTAATATAATATAATAAACTGTTATTAAGATTAATATTACACTTATTATTATTATTATTATTGCTTTTAATTGCTAAAAACATTAATTGATTAATAATATATATATATTGATATTGATATAAAAGGATTAATAGTACTATACATACATACATACACTAAATTATACATCAATAATAATAATATAAAATAAAAACAATTTATTAACTTTTATTTATATATGTATATATACTATACTATACTAGACATCATTAGCTAATTTAGCTGCCGGTGCTTCTCAATATTCAATGCTTTATTGATAATAATAATAATATTAATAATTGTTTCAAAAAAAAAATATTTACATTTTTTTGTGCGTAAAATCCCTGACCAATGCTAAACACATAATAATAATCATATTATTATTATATTATTTAAAATACAGTAAAAAAAAGATTTAAAAAACAATGTTTTAGTTTTCTTCAAACAAATACATCGATATATAATTTATTGTTTATAAATACAGTATATTTTATTTATATTAGAAAAATAAAAACAATGGCTTTCAGCACCGGGAGGCTCGACTATAGTCATTGAGATGGTCTCTCTCTCTCTCTCTATAACTGATTCAATAAATTAAAATTATAAAAAATTTTTGTTGTTTTGAATTTCAAAAAACATGAAAAACTAAACTAAAATTAATTGGAAAACATTATATATTTTTTCCAGAAAAAAATTATTTGTAATAATAATAATACTAAATAAATAACTAATAATTAATAATATATATATATATATTAATAACAATTATAATGTTTTGTTTTGACAAAAGATAATACAAAATCAATAATTTTTTTTGTTAAAAATATTATTTTGTTAAAAAACATCAAACAATAAAAAACAAATTAAATACTATAATTAATAGCAAAATAAATAATTATAAAAATTTTCAATTTCAATGATAAGATAAACACTAATTATTTATTCAAATAATATTATTAAAAAAAATAATAATATTAATTTACTAGAAATTAATTGTAAAAATGAATAATACACTATTAGTAATAATGTTAAATAAAATATTAAAAAAATACTAAAATAAAAACAACAAATTTTTTAAAAATCGTGAAAAATCTCTGTAAAATCAATGACTAATTGAAAAGCTATTGAAAATTATTAAATATATAGATATTTACGTATAATTAATATGAATTACTTGTCTCTGTCTGTCTGTTATTAATAATAATAATAATAATAATAAAAATAACTAAAAAATCAAAATCAAAGACTTGAATAAAAGATTATAACTAATAATAATTTTATAACTTATTATTTAAATATAAATTTTTTTATATATCCAATAATATTGTAATACTCATAATAATAATAATAAGTAAAACATATAAAATAAGCACAATATGTAATTTTTCAATAAACTTTATTTTATTTTTTAAGTTAGTTTTATAATTATTATTATTTTCTATATAATTATCAATTTATTATAAGTTTTATTTTATCAGTAATTTTTTGTTTTGTTGCTACTGTTAAACGTCTTTTACATTGACATAAATTATTATTATTATTAATAGTATTATACTATATATATATTGTTTATGAAATCAATTGGGTTTATAATTAATGACTAAATGCATATAATTTATTTAAAAAAATTTGTCTTATTATTTGTTTTATAGTCACTCACTCACTCACTCATCAAATAAATCAATAATTTTTTTATATAATAGTAGTTATTTGTGATGTCATCCATAAAAATAAATGGATAATAATTTAATAAAAATATTTTATTTAGCGATAAGTAAAAAAATAAAAACCAAAAACTATACTAATTTTTACTTTAATTTAATTTTAATTAATTAATTTTTTTTTGTAATAAACTTTACACTAATCATTGGACACTTCAAACATTGATTAAAAAAATTGTTAATTTAATTTTGTTTTAATTAATAAATAAAATAAAAAATAACAACAAAAATAGTGCAAAAACTAATGTGTTATAGTTTTTTATTTAATTTAATTTTTTTATTATTATAGATATCTATAATTCCTTAACAAGTTTTTCAATCACTTTCCAAATATCTAAATATATTATTATTACTGAAAAACTGTTATTAAATAATGTGTGTCTAATTGATAGAAAATTATATATATATATATATATATATATTTTTAAAATATTTAATTTGAATTTTACTATTTTAAAATTTTTTTATTATTTTTGATTTAAAAATTATAAATGCAAACCCTATCGCTGATTGATATATATATATATATAATATAAATTATAGGTATGTCCTCCAAGAATATTTAGGTTATTAGGATGTACATGTATTTTAAATACATGCATACCAGAGCCCTTAAGCTACCTTTCCCATCATCATCAGCATCGATACTGTGTGTATAAACCCTGATTGGGAACTACAGTATTAACTGTTTTAGGGCACACATACATCCACACACACACACACACACACACACACACACACACACAGCTACCGGAGCACCGGCTCTATCTTACGGTAAGTTTATTGCATTAATAATATTTTTTAAAAAAAAACTTTTTTTTTAAATATTTTATGCCAAAAAAAATAAATAAAATAAAACACATACGCAAATGCATTACACATATATATAAAGTTATTATTGCAGATGATTAGTATTATATTTTTTAAATAAATAAATAAATAAAACTTTTTTCTAAACACATACCTGTCCTCTAAACAGCAATAGTATGGCGTTTCTATTGGTAGCCAATTCGGCTTTTCTAATACATGTTATCCATTGGATGGCATTCAAGTCCAGTAGCTCTAGCCATGCCGTAAATGTACCCGTCCTATCGGTTACCTAATTTGGATAATAATAATAATAATAATTAATTAAAATTAAAAATAATTATAATAAAACTTTATTTATTTTTACAAAAACAAAATTATCATGTTTATTTTTAAAAACTATAATTAATAAATCTATTTAAAAAAAATAATTTAATACCAATTATATATATATATATATATATATATATATATAGAGTATAAAAATAAAAAATAAGTATTTAATTAACAATATTATATGAAATTACTAACAATTATAATTGAAATATCTATATATATATATTTGTAAACTTTAATAAACTTTATGAAATATTATTAGTATTATTATTATTATAGTAGTATTGTTGATGTATTAAATAGTTATTTTTCAATATAAATAAATAAAATATTACTAATATTATATTGTTTTTAGTTAACAATTTATGCTTATTAACCAATAGCAATTTTTGAAAAACCAACATCATCATTGAAACAATTAATAATAATAATATTGAAATATTAGTTATAGAAAAATATTTATTATAATAGAAAAAATTGGTTTATTATTATAAGTGATGTGCCATTAATTTGAAACATTGCTTACAAAAAAAATATTGTATACATTGCTATTGCTATAACATTGTCTAGCAATGAGTTATTTTTTTTTATTTGATGATAATAATGATAATGTGAATCTTATAATAAATATGTTTATTTTAAATAAATAAAAAATAACGCAAAAATGAGTCTTAATATTTTGTGTGTGTGTGTGTGTGTGTGTGTGTGTGTGTGTGTGTGTGTGTGTGTGTGTGTGTGTGTATTATTTATAATCTCAAATATATATATTTATTTATTTATAATTTAATAAATTGTATAAAACATTATGATTTTAATTTGTATATTAGTATAAAATATTTGCTTTTATATACATATTATCAAATTATTTTATATTTTAAATTTATATATATATATCATAATAATCTAATTTAATTATTAATTAATAGTTTAATTAATTTTAATATGTTAAACAATTTTAAATATTTTTTTTTAATAGTTTTGTTTTGTTTTGCATAATATCGTGATATTTGACTTTCAAAATAAAACACATACAAAACGACAAAATTATTTAAATATTTTTTTATATATACAAAAATAAAATATTTATTTAGTATTTTATCTGTTTGTGTAAGTGTGTAATTTATTTAACCTAGCTAATTTTTTTTTTAAATATTTAATAGATACGAATTAGTATTATTTATATTATATGACTATCAATAAAATAATAATAAACCACCCTGACTATATATATATATATAATTAATATTATCATTATTATTGGTGTGATGATGGTATATGTTAAATAGAGAGAGAGAGAGAGAGAGAGAGAGAGAGAGAGAGAGAGAGAGAGAAATGATTTTTCAATTATAATTAAATGACAAATTTATGTTAATTTATTATATACAGTATATATATACAAGTTATATATATATATATATATGCATGTCTACTGTATTTTTTTATAAAATATATATACAATTTAAATGTGTAGATATAATATTGAATTTTATGTGTACAACAAAAATATTGTATATTTTTTTGCTGTAAATATTAATATTATATACATTTTTGTTTGTTTGCTATTTGTAAGCATTGTTATTGAATTTCTCTCTCTCTCTCTCTATATATATATATATATATATATATATATATATATTACAAAACTTAACGATGGCTTAATAAATATTTTTATTAAATTAATTGATTTATAATGTATTTTATATATAAATTATTTTAGTCACTCATATAGACTTCTAGACAGACACACTCAATATAAAAAAAACAATATGATATATCATTTTTTTAATAATAAATTATTACTAATATAATATTTAAATATTGTACATAAATTATATACTGTTAATATATATACAATATATATAGATATATGATACAGAAAAAACCAGTTAACCCTTTAATACCTCAAAAAATGCTGTATATATATATATATATGTTTTAAATATTTTGTATACATTTATACAACGTGTATATATCTATACTATATTATGACAATCATTATTAAGCGATTTATATTTTATATATTTTTTTGTAAACCAAAATTTATGTAATTTTTATTCATATTAAATGTTATTAATCCTCTAAATATGTGTCGGGTAATTATTATCATCGCAAAAATATTTTTTTATATAACATAAATATTATTATTATTGCAAATAAATTATAATTGAATATATATATATATAATAAAATAACATCTAAAAAATGTGTGAAATATATATTAATATTTTTCATTATTTATTTATTTTTAAAAAATTAAATTAATATCATCAATACATTCAATAATATATATATATATATATATTATATAATCAAATGACTTATTTAGTTTATAATAACAGGAAGTGAATCTTAAAAATAAAACTTAAATATAAACAACAACAACAAAATTTTTAAACATTAAAAACACATTTTCACAATATTTTATTAATACATATTAAAAAAATTAATTGATTACTAAGTTATAGATTTTTTTAAAAAATATATATTATATATATATAATATTTAAAACAATGTGTGGGAAGTGGTATTGTATACACACACAAAAAATATAGTGATTTATAATAATTATAAACTAATTTAATTTTAGACTAATTTTTTTTGCTTATTTTTGTTGTTAATAATCTTTTAATTATAGTTAATTAAAACCCTTTAGATAGTATATATATAGTTATTTATATAAGTATTTCTAAAATTTCTAATTAAAACATGATATTTATGAAAAAAATATCACAAAATAGTTTAACAAAATAAATAAATAACTTAAAATACTTATATAATAAAATAATATAAATAACTTGTACTGACAACCCGTTTGATGGCACTGGTATACCAGATACCTGAGCCATCATCATCATTATCACTGTATGTATGTATATGTATGATAAAAACTTCATAATCATTGCCCGACAATTTAATTTAATAATTTTTCTAATTAATATTAATTGTTTCTTAATAATGAAAATATGTGTATAAATAATAGATAATAAATTAATATAAAACTTAACAATTATTTGCTAAGATTTAATAAAATATTTAAAAAAAATTCAAAAATATATTTTTGTTAAGTTAGATGATAATAATTAAATACTATATACGGTATAATAAATTGAAAATAAATATACTATTACTACCCAAAAAAATATGTTTAATTAATATTATCTTTTACTGTATATACAATGCTTATATATTTTTAGTTATATTTATTAGTATTAGTATATTATTGTTGTTTTTTAACTAAAGTGTTAGACTTTGATAAAGATTATAGTGTTAACCGATTTACAGTTAAACAATACAATAACCAAAAAAAACAATATTCATAATAAGATATTGAAAATGAGAAAATAAAACAAAAATTATTATATTATAATATATAGCCATAAGTACAGTATATATATAGATATAATAGACAGGAAATAATGTTTTACTTATAGATTATTTTATTTTACAGTATTTTTATGATTATGATTATTATCCGCTTATTATAATTACGATATTAATTTCATTTGTTATATATATATATATATATATATATATATGTATATAATATAATAGATGTTTAACATTTGCAATACCTTTTTTGTTATATTTATTATTATAAAAAATAATAATAAATATAAACAATATCCATAAAAAATTTGTGTATTATTATAATGTTTATACATATATATATACTACTTAATTGGTGATATATTTAAAAAAAAACTAAAAAAATAATACACAATAAAATATATATATAACTAATCCCAATAAATATCATCAAATTTCACGCTATATTATTAGCGAATATAATCAGTTAAATGCAATGAAATTACTTTTTATTTATTTTTTTTTGTTATTAATAATAATTAAAAAAAATAAATTAAAGATATTATAGTATAAAAAACAATACTTTAATTTATTATTATATTAAATAGACTTATGATTTAATGCTTTAATTTTTTTATATAATTTTGTGGTTTATGTGTTATACTTAGGCGTGAAATATATATATATATATATAATAATTTTGATAATCCCTTTTCAATCTTTATAATTAATTTATATTAAAAAAAATAATATATGTTTGTATTATAAAACAGTTATATACACACACACAACAAAAAACTGGTAGTCTATTTAATTTTGTTTTATTTATCATTTTTATTGTTATTTGTTGTTTAATTTTATTAATAAATGCTAATCAAAAAAGCACTGTATAATTGTACTGTATTTTTATTGACAACAATTATAAAGTTAATATATATATTAAAACAAAATTAAATAGCAATTATAAAAAGTATAAGATGATACTAGTGTTTTTTAATTAATTAATTAGTTAATTATTTTTTAAATATATATATATATATATATATATACTGATATATATGTAACAAAAATAATTGCATGTTTTTATTTAGCCAACAAAACATATATATTAGGTTTTTTTAAAATTATTTTTTTCTATTATATATAAATATATTCACGTAATCTAATAATATTTTTAAATAGGGGGACACCCACCCATATATATATATATATATATATATCAAACAAACGGTGCTCTAGACTACTAGTATGTGTAGGTGCTCTATGTGCCGGTATTTTTAAGTTAATTAGAGCCCAAACAAAAAAAATATAACAATTTTTATTTGCATATTAATTTTCTATAGTTATTTAACATACTATGATATATTGCTTTATTTAAAAAATAAAATAAATTATTTTAATTATAACTATATTATTATATTTATGTTGTTGTTGTTGTATTACAATTTTAAACTGTTTTTGTGTGGGATATATATATAATATATTAATTGTAATAATTATTGTCCAACAAAAATAGGATCGCACAGGTAGTTCAAGCACTGGTAGGGTTTACTGTATATTTTAAATACTAAAAATAAAATTTATAAAATTTTTTTTTTGACTCTTGTATTGCCATCTATTAGTCAATATTTGAAAAACATAAATAAAATA